GAAGCCACATGACCTATTGTGCATTCAGATCTCAGGCCCCAAAATCCTGAGAATCAAGAGGACTGGTGATGGGGGATCATGGAGTGATGGGTCCTGTCAAGGGTATGTTTTCTTTCTTTCTATCTCCCTCTGTTGCGGGCATGTGCACATGCTCTGTATAATGAAAAAAAAAATCACTTGGGCATATGTAAGTATGAACAGGTATGAAGCAATAAGAATTTTAAAAAACAGACTGCATTTCCTAGGAGGAGGGGTGGGGTAGGAACCATATTTTGAGAATCACTGAATTAAGGGAATATCGGAGAGGAAACCTAATTCTTAAAGAGATACGAGGGGGTAAGACAAAATTAACACCTAAACATTAAATTACGAGGAAATATACTTATTCCATAAGTACTTCTCTTTGAGGTGTACAGAACCCATGAAATTATGCCTGGAGCCTAATTTCAAGCGCTATGTGCAGTCTATTCCTTTACAACCTTGATCAGTGTAATTCCTTGCTATTTCAAATGTATTCTTGGTTTCCAAAGGCTCACAGACAAAGGGAGATATTCTCTAAGAGGCCACCCCATTTATAAGGTAAATTTATCTGATTTAACCTTACATATACCACACATTTATGTGCAGTTACTGATTTTACATATTTAACCAGCAACTACTATCTTTTGGAATGGACACAGAGTTCTTTGTACTTCCTTTTCTAATCTTAAATGTTGGCAAGAAACCCATTTCAAAAGCTGACTTACCAAATAGATAAACCAAAGGGAGAATATTCATTCTTTTGTACTCCTAAAAACTGTAAAAATCACTTCCTAAAAGTTGTGGCCCAAGTTTTGGCATTACTACTTCCTAACTGGTTTGTTTTTCAATTTTCAGATTTGAATACCAGGAAAAACTATCCCAATGCAATAATAAATGCCTTGAAACTTCCAAAATCTGGGCTAGCTGGTGTCATAATGGTTAAGGCAGCTGGATCCTACATGGCATGGGCGGTTCAAGTCTTGGACCTGGTGGCTTGAAAAATACACCCAGCATATGTGTATGCATGCCCAAAAATCCAAAAGGAAGGAGAACTGGAGGAGGAATAAGTGTGTCCCTCCCCGGGGGGGGGGGAGGCTGATTTCTCACCCTCTCTTTCTCTTTCTCTGTCTCTCCAGTGAATGCATGCATCTTATAGCAAACTAAAAGCCAAAACCTTGAAGAGAAGCTAATCCATAGTTTATCCTCAAATAACTTTTTTTGAGAGAGAGATTTTTGCTACAGGGCACATGCGTTCATGGGAGAGACAGAAAGCGAGAAATCACCCCCACAGGTGGATGAACACACCACAATCCCTTCTCCTCCATTCTCCTCTCAGGATATTGGGCACACACACACATGCACCCAGAGTGAGTTTCAAGCTGCCGGGTATAGGACTTGAATCACGGTTGGCTTTGTGGGAGTCCAACAGCGTAACTATTATACCACCTGCTGGTTCTTCGAATAACTCCTCCGAAATAGATGACTGGTTCTATTGTGCTTCCCATCCATGGTACCTACTGATTTTCCACTTACTTCAGTAACCCTATTACTATCACATCCTACTTTATAATGATTTCACTACAAAACACAGAAAAGTCCCAATTAAAAGTATTATAATAGTGATGAAAATCCTCAAGAATTCCTAATAATTTTTCCAAACAATATGGATTCTAGAGTGCCAAATAAAGTATTTAAAAGAGATTTCCTACTTCATTCTAGCAAATTACTTCACTGTTAGGGAAAGTATATATAATTCTTTTTTTCTTTTTTTTTTTTTTTTTTTTGGAGAGATTTTCACTGTAGGGCGCGTGCGCTCGCCAGACAGACAGAGAGAGACATAGAGACAGAAAGCGAGAAATCACCCCCCAGGGGGGATGGTCATGCCGCAATCCCTTCTCCTCCATTCTCCTCTCGGGATCTTGGGCACGCACGCACTCGCGCCCGGCGTGAGATTTAAGCCACCGGGTCCGGGACACGAACCGCGGTCGACTACGTGGGAGTCCAGCGACATAGCCATTACGCTAACTGCTGGTTCCCAGTATATATAATTCTTGATAGACTAAACAATACTTCTGAATTGAAATGATTGTTGTTACAAATATACTTTAGGAACATACAATAATTTGTTGTTGTTGCTAAACTCTTGTGAAAACATAATTCAGAATTGTTGTTTTTACCCTATTTACTATAGAATAACACACTACTATACATTTATTCCCCCTTGATACTTGCTGAATGAAGTTATTTTGCTGACAACACAGAAAAAGTTCACCTAAAGTATGCTGGAACACTTCCTATAATCAATAACTTAAAAATAATCATTGGGTACAGAAACAATGAAGTGTTCGTAAAAACATAAAGTGGACACAGAAAGACATTAAGCAGTACGTCAGGTCAGCATGTACCCTGGGAAATCAGAAAGCTTACCAAAAAATCACTATAATGACCCTTTTTTTTGAAGAGCCATGGAATATAAGATTTAAAAAAACACACACACACACACACAGGAAATTCAGATCAGATTTAAAAACAAATACAACTTCAAAAATCACCAATAAATTACCTGGTATTTGGAAAACCACCTCTAACAAATGGCCCCAACCAAATATTAGTTAAAGGTCACATTATAGAACCAGTACCTTGTAACCTCATAGAGGGGATCTTCAAAGCAAGACGTCACCCCAGGAAGTGCAAATTCAACACAAGGTGAAACAGAGTCTGGGGCTACCACAACAAGGTACAATATTGAAGGAAGAAAAAAATAAAGTGGTCTCATTTACAAATAATAACTAGAGGAGGAAGCATGATATTCACAACTTGGAGAAAGCAGAGATCATGAATATAGACAAGAAATAGGAGGGCTTACAATACTCAGATCAAATCACTCGAAGGAAAATTTCAGCTGTCAGGGAAAAACTTGAAGGAAAAGATTATATATTACAGTACTAACTACTGCCAGCACCATCCGAAGTTCAAAGTATACTAAATTAAAACTCAGGGAGCAAAACCTGGTCACTCCTCCACCTCTATCTAAGTAGGGCTTGAAATCATGGGTTTAGATTATAAGTGATCTAAGAAGCTGTGACTGTTGAAGCCTTCAGTACAAGAGGCTCCCAGCACTCCATGGGTGGTCGACAACAACTGTACTGATGCAAATCCCTTGCATCTACGTAGAGCTTTACAGTTTAGAAATGCCTTCACTTTCATTCCTCAACAGTAACCCCTTTGGTGATAGAATCACAGTATCTAAACTGTCACACGCTTATAGTGTGTAAAATATTTTCACACTCTCTGTTGGTTATCTTACAGAAGAGACCCAAGGAATTTAAATTATCCCACTAAAGACGAGCAGATGGTAGGTGAGGGGCCTGGGAAACTGCAGAACTCAGTCCTTAAAGCATTTCCAACCCATAAACGTTCAAAGTACAACACTCCAAGGGGAGCAGCCACACCCGGGACACCTATTCAAGATAGGACCTGTAAGCCTCAGGCGACCGGTCATCCTGGCCTTGGTCTCTCTCCCCAAAGACAGGAAAAGTAAAGCAGCAGGCAGGGACCAATGCTTGAGCTGGAGTCACGCAGTGGGTGTTGGTAGGATGGACACACACACACACACCGGCACTGAGCCTCAAAGGAGCAGGATCCTGGGTCTGGGACACCCGGTTGGTCTTGAGAGAGAGGAAAGAACACTTTGCCATTCCCGTTTCTCTCTTGCTAGTCCCCACACCAGCTTTCCCATGGAAGGGGGTGTCTTATTCCCAGAACCGCCCAGATATCTTCTCTCTAATATCCTTAGCCAATTTTTAGCTCGGGCCTCCGAGGTAGGCGAGTCCGCTAGTTCTGGCTCCCACTCCCTTGCCCCTGTCTGCGGCGTCTCTGGATCCCAGGGCGTAGATCTCCCCGAGGGAGGTCTGCCTCCCACCTGTGCCACCTAAACCGCCAACTCCACAAAAGGAAACCCTCCCAAAGCGTCCTCCCATCTACCCTTCTGCCCCAGATACCCCCGAGGATCACCCCTCAATACCAGCCGCTTTCCCAGGAGATACCTGCCTCTCACCTGGGCCCCGTTAGCCGCAGCCTCCTCAGAAAGGCGACCCCAAAGACCCTCCTTCAGCCAATGCTCCCCTCAAAGGGGGAAACACCCTCTTCCAGGTACCTCTTCAAGGCACCCTAGGCGCGGACCTCGGCGAGAACCTCCGGTCTTGTTTCCTTGGCTCTGCTCAACGCCACCCGCTCCCGGGCCCCTTCCCGGAGCCTGTTCCAGCCCCAGACCGGTCTCCGCGCCCCACGATCGAGCGGCTGTTCCCCCCTCACAGACGTCCCCAGCCCTCTGACTCCCGCTCGCTCCGCGTCCCCAGCAGGCTTCCCAGAGCAACGCGGCCCGGCTGCTGCACTGACTTTCTCTAGTTCCAGGGCCCACCGGAGGGAGGGGGCGGCGGCGACGGAGCGACTCCTTTGTGACAGGTCCCAGAGAGCGGTAAAGATGGACGCGAGGCCACGGCGCTGCCATTACGCGCAGGGCCCTCCCCCGCTACGTACCGCCCCGTCCCTCCCTCAGTCCCCTAGGAAACGCCCCTTCCTCGGTGGCAATCCCTCTCCTTGACAGCCAATCATAGTGCAGAAACAATGACACGTGATCCCGGGGCCCGGCCCGCCCACCGGGCATGAGTTGGCCAATCCCCTTGCTGAGGTGTGAATGGCCCAATCAAGCCTCTCCCCCTCCCTGTCGGTGCACCGGATTTCCATAGTGCTCCTGGGGAGGAAGAGAGCTGTGGATTGGGTTACGCCGCCGGAAGGAGGCGGAGCCTTGTTGTGGCGGTGAGGAACAGGAAGCCCTGAAGGGTCAAAAGGAATACAAAAGCAAAGGCTGTTTTCTTTTTTTGCCCCCCCTCCCTTCTTTTTTTTTTTTTTTTTTTTTTTTTTTTTTTTTTTTTTTAAAGGCTGTCTCTTGGTTTGGGGTGGGCGTCGCCAAGGTGGGGGAGTCTCGCCTCCCGCGCGCTGGTAGGTGAGTGCGACCCGGGCCCTGGCGAAACCTGTGCTGCTTTGCTAAAGAGATGGGGAGCTGCAGCCGCTGTTAGGGTTAGGGCCTGTTCTCAGTCCGCGTTCTCTCTCTGTCTTGAATCGTCAGGGCCCAGGCTTGCGGGGCCCAGCCTGAAGGTATCTGGGTCGTGAGGGAGGTTCCCCGAGTCTTTTAGACGGGCCAGGACTGTTGGGCCTCTTTGTCGACTTTCTCCACCTTTCTGTGATACTGGGCCACTCGAACCCGGAGTAGCCGGCTCTGTTCCAGGGGTCTTGGAACGGCTCCAGCCTACTCAGGAGATGCGGGGCCCCTGATTGGACATGATTGAATCCCGGAATGTACGCGCAGGATGAAACTCATCTGTTATGTACCACATTCAGTTGCTGTGCTAATTGCATTTTCTTCTAATAGAAAATAAGCCAACCTGTCCGTTTTGCAGAAAACTTAGGAACGAAAATCGAGAATTGAAGCGTCTTGTTTGAGAGTTGGCGGCCCTTGTGAATTTTAGTCCACACAGGGAAAGGGAAGACCAATGTATTTACAGCAGTGGTGCCTAAACGTCGGTTTACCCCAAGATTTTCCGCAGCTCTTTTCAAATGAAGATTTTTAGCTTCCCACCCCCAGGTGGTCTGTCTAGGTTGGGTTTTAGGGTACCAGATGTAAGATAAGATTTATCGCTTCTTTGGACGCCATAAAACAGTTTGGAGGGCACTGCTTCTGAAATCCTTGAAAGGAATTAGTGTGTAGACTCCCTTTTGATACAAGAAGTTGAACTGAGATAAAGGCAACTTTTATACCTTTCAAATAGAGCCCAAGATGAGCTGGAAACAATTTCTAGGGGTCTGAAAGTAGAGGCTGCCCAAATTTCTTCCTCGACTGAAGTCCTAATGCTTGTAGGGGAATTCTTCATGGTTGCAAGAAAAGAAAAATTATATCAGCACCATGTATCTGGCTTTCATTCTTACTGTTTGTCTTGGGTTTTTTGTTTGTTTGTTTGTTTTCTTCCATTTTCACTATGATGTATCTAGCTATGATTTATTTTTGTTCTGTTTGGTGTTTAGACTTATTTAACTTAACTGATTTAACATAGACCTTTTCACTGTATTCTCTATGCCTCTTACTCTCTATTTTCACATCATTGTGGACAATTCCCTCATTCTCTCTTAAATTATTTCCAATCTGTTATTAAACTTGTCTAGTGGCAGCTTAAATTCATTTATTACATTGTTCCATTTCTGAAGGTCTATTTAGTTCATGCTACTATTTTACAAGTTCTTATTCCTTGCTATTAATTTCGAGGCTTAATTTTTATTTCTTTAAACAAGGTAAGCTTAGTTGTTTTATAATTTATGGTTTTTTGTTTGTTTGTTTTTAGAACTAATTTTGCTATAGGGTGTGTGCGCTTGCCAGACAGACAGAAAGTGAGACATCACCCTCCTGGGGGGATGGCCACACTTCAGTCCCTTCTGTCAGGACTGGGCATACATGCACATGTACCTGGCATGAGTTTTAAGCCACTTGGACCTGGAACTGTGGTTGACTAGATGGGAGTCCAGCAAGGTAACCATTTAACCATCTTCTGGTCCCTGGAGTGCTTTCTGTTGTCCCTTGTTCTTGCTGTCTTACTTGCCACTTACTTTTACCCTGAAGGTGTAGTTCTTAGGGTTAGTAGATGAAGGGGGTTTTTAGGCTCTGCATGCTGGTTGGACTCCTGGCTTTGACTTTTGCTTCATAATGGCACCCAAACGGTAGCTTTCAGGCTAGGGAACGCCTCAGAATGAAATCCACTTTGAATATTGAATCTTATTTCTGTTTTTCACCTTCTCCCAGATTTTGTCTTAATGCTCTATTATTTTGCTAGCTTTTCTATTTGTTTAAGAATTCTTATTTTGGGGGGATCCGCAGGTGGCATGATGCTTAGGGCACTGGACTCCACATAGTTGTCTGCAGTTCGAGTCTGCGCATGGTGGCTTGAGCATCACGCTGGGCATGTATGCGTGTGTGCCCAAAATCAGAGTGGAGGAGAAGGGATTGCACTGTGGCCACCATCCCGCTTCCTGCCTGGAATAATTTTTACTTTATCTCTGTCCAGTGATCACATGTGCTCTCTGACCAAAACCTTAAAAACAATAATTTTTTTTTTGAGAGGTTTTCGCTCTAGGGTGCGTGTGTCTTGCCAGACAGACAGAGAGAGACATAGAGACAGAAAGCGAGAAATCACCCCCCAGGGAGGATGGTCACGCTGCAATCCCTTCTCCTCCATTTTCCTCTTGGGATCTTAGGCACGCACGCACAGGCGCCTGGTGTGAGTTTTAAGCCACCGGGTCCGGGACACAAACTGCGGTCGACTACATGGGAGTCCAGCGACATAGCCATTATGCTAACTGCTGGTTCCCAAAAATAATTTTAAGTTCTAGATTTTTAAATACAGAGGTGGAGGTGGAGGATTGGTTTTAATTATAATACCTACCTCACTCTTTCCAGGAGTGAAAGCCCCCCCCTTGTCTTGATTTTGGAATGTGAGATTTGTGATTTCCGACACAAAGTTAAAGATTATTTTTGTTCATATATTTAAAATGTCCAGCACTTTTCCTTGTGGAACATCATGAACGCTATTAAAACTAAGCTTACCGGATGTTTTACACTGAGTGCCAATTCACTTGCGTATTTAGTATCTAGCACTATACCTTGCACAGAATAGGTCCTCTATAAATATTTGCTTTAAAAAAACTGAATTGGTATTTAGCCAGTGGCATGGTGGTTAAAGGAGTGGATCCCACATGGCCAACTGTGTGGTTCAGTTGGAGGATCAGACCTGGTGGTTTGAACACAGCAGGCACTCATATGTGCTTGCCCAAAGTCACAGCAGGAGGGAAAAATGGAGGAGAAGGAATTGCGGTATGACTGTTCCCCGTGGGGAGTGTTCTTTCTTCCTTTTCTTCTCTCTTTCCTTCTGTCTGTCTCTGTCTCCAGTCAGTGCACTTGCCCTTTGGCAAAATAAAAAAAAAAATAAAAAAGAACTGAATTGGTTGGCCTTGTATGATTAGAGTAATGCAGAGCCCTCTAAAGTCTTTATTTTGTTTAAAAAAAATTTTTGGACTTAGAGTAGAGTTACATAGGGGAGAAGGAAGGAGAGGATGAAGTGATTTGGTGTGTGGATTAAGTTCTGAAGCCAGCCCAGATAACAAAATAGGGTGTAATCAAAACTATTCTTGAAAATCTCTTGGGGAGCACAGCACATGGACATAGAAATACCAGTCCTGTGAAATTCCGACCACCAGGTTTTCGTCTAGCTTTGGTACTTTTCTTCCTGTGAGCCTCAGATGCAGTAGTTGGTTTGCATTTAGGAATTACAATATGTAAAAAATAGGAGTAATATTAGAATCATACATACTGAGGGAAGCATTTATATTCTGAGAGTGTGTTTATACACGTGAACCAAGAAACAGAAGTTCAGCTAAGAGAACCAATATATATATATTTTTTTTTGAGAGGTTTTTGCTATAGGGCGCATGTGTTTGC